GCCACCTCGCCCGGGTAGTTTTTTTTGTATTTTTTTTTTAATAGAGACGGGGTTTCACCGTGTTAGGTAGGATGGTCTCGATCTCCTGACCTTGTGATCCACCCGTCTCGGCCTCCCAAAGTGCTGGGATTACAGGCTTGAGCCACCGCGCCCGGCCGGAAGCCTCTCTTAAGGCCTGGGTTATTGGGACATGATGGCTGGCAGGTTGTGGGGGGTCCTCTGACCTGTGACCCTGGCTCCCAGGTGGTGAGCTGCCTCAGCACCGCTGTTCTGTCTGGCCACTACGTGGGCTTCTCCATGGTGTCTCTGCTCCTGGAGTTGAACTCTGCCTGCTTGCACCTGCGGAAGCTGCTGTTGCTCTCTCGCCGGGCCCCGTCCCTGGCCTTTAGCGTGACCAGCTGGGCCTCCTTGGCCACCCTGGCCCTCTTCCGCCTGGTCCCGCTGGGGTGGATGAGTCTGTGGCTATTCCGGCAGCGCCACCAGGTTCCTCTTGCTCTGGTCACCCTGGGTGGAATTGGGCTGGTCACTGTGGGCGTCATGAGCATCATATTAGGGATCCGCATTCTGGTCAATGATGTCCTGCAGTCTCGAACCCATCCACCCAGCCCTGGGCACGAGAAAACCAGGGGGACCAGGACACATCATAACGATGGACCTGTCACCAGGGACAATTCCACTCACAGCCTGAAAGACTAGAGAGAAGCCATGGGCCCCTCGCTGGGGGAGGTGGGGCCAGGACAAGGAGATGAGGGTCTTCCATGCACAGTCCGCCATCGGGGTGAGGGCCAGACTGGCTCATCAGCATCTCGGTTTCTCTTCCAGCTAACTCACATCCCTTCCCCTTGCTAGGATCTAAGAAGAAATGCTGATTTTGGATAGGTGGGAACCTGGGTTTCTGTTCACTGAAATCCGTCATCAGATGAGTGCCCTTTCCAGCAAATAAACTCAAGAAGTACAGCCAGATCTGTCAGTAAAGGGTGGCAGGAGGCACACAGCGGGAAGAAACTGCCAGTGGAGACAGAAGCTCTTTGCTTTAACCCAGGGACATATCGGGGAAGGTGAAGTCCCACTAGGATCAGAGAGATCTGGTATGGGGCGAGTAGGGACAGAGAAAAGAGATCTCACCTATAACCAAATTCTGGCAGGGGGAGGAAGGTAGAGGAGGTGCTATCTGTCCCGGCAGAGATGGATGTGATAGTTGCCAAGAGACAGAACCTGGGCCACAGCAATTGCTGCTAATATTTCTGGTTCTCAAAGCCACACTCCTGTTTTTCTTTCTTTCTTTCTTTCTTTTTTTTTATGAGACAGAATCTCACTCTGTCACCCAGGCTGGAGTGTAGTGGCACGATTCCAGCTCACTGCAACCTCAGCCTCCTGGGTTCAAGTGATTCTCCTGCCTTAGCCTCCCAAGTAGCTGGGACTACAGGCATGCACCACCAAGACCAGCTAATTTTTGTATTTTTTGGTGGAGAGGTTTCACCATGTTGCTCAGGCTGGTCTTGAACTCCTGGCCTCAAGTGATCCACCTGCCTCGGCCTCCCAGAGTGCTGGGATTATAGATATGAGCCACTATGCCCGGCACACACTCCTGTTTTTCTGCTTAACCCTGGTCCTACTGTGTCCTTTTAATTTTTTAAAATTTTTTAATTTTTTTGGTGTCTTTTTACTTTTCGTTTTTTTTTTTTCTTTTCTTTTTTCTTTTTTCTTTTTTTTTTTGAGACAAGTTCTTGCTCTGTCGCCCAGGACGGCGTGTAGGACTTGATCTTGGCTCACTGGAATCTCTGCCTACCAGGCTCAGGCAATACTCCTGCCTCCCAGCTTAGCCTCCCAAGTAGCTGGGACTACAGGTGCACGCCACTGCACCAGGCTAATTTTGGTGTTTTCTTATAGAGACCAGGTTTTGCCATGTTGCCCAGGCTGGTCTCAAACTTTTGCACTCAAGTGATCCACCCACCTCAGCCTCCCAAAGTGCTGGGATTACAGACGTGAGCCACCGTACCTGGCCTCTTTTGACTTTTCAAAGACAATTCGGATTATTAGAGGAATGAACACAGGGCTAGGTCTGTCTTCTTAGGATGGCACTGAAGTCCAGAATCACAGAAGGAACTCAAGCACCCACTTGGGTGCCCAGTACAGAGTTTTCCCAGGCTCAGGCTTTCGTGGAAGAATGAGGGCAGAGGCAGAGCGTGTGAGAGAAGGTTGCAGGAGGATAAAGGAATAGCTGGCCTTCTGGCCGGGCGTGGTGGCTCACGCCTGTAATCCCAGCACTTTGGGAGGCTGAGATGGGAGGATCACCTGAGGTCAGGAGTTCAAGACCAGCCTGGTCAACATGGCGAAACCCTGTCTCTACTAAAAATACAAAAATTAGCCAGATACCTGTAATCCCAGCTACTCGGGAGGCTGAGGCAGGAAAATCGCTTGAACCCAGGAGGCAGAGGTTGCAGTGAGCCGAGATCGTGCCACTACACTCCAGCCTGGGCAACAGAGTGAGACTCCTTCTCAAAAGAAAAAAAAAAAAAAGGAAGAGCTGGACCTTTTCTGAGATTCATTCATAAGCTCTTCTTCCCTGTTGCTTCTGCTGTGTTGTTTTTTTTTTTTTTTTTTGAGACGGAGTCTCGCTCTGTTGCCCGGTCTAGAGTGCAGTAGCCAGATCTCAGCTCACTGCAAGCTCCGCCCCCCGGGTTCACGCCATTCTCCTGCCTCAGCCTCCGGAGTAGCTGGAACTACAGGCGCAGCCACCACACCCGGCTAGTTTTTTGTATTTTTTTTAGTAGAGACGGGGTTTCACCGTGTTAGCCAGGATGGTCTCGATCTCCTGACCTTGTGATCCGCCCGTCTCGGCCTCCCAAAGTGCTGCTGCTGTGTTTTTTTTTCTGTTGAACAAGACCGCTTCCTTCCCAGAACATCCAGGTGATGGGAAGTGCCGGACAGATTAAGGCTGTTCTACTAAACAATGAACTGAGAGAGGCAACCCTTAGCCATCCACAGAAAAGGTACATGAGCAAAAGCAAGAGACAGGAAGATTGTCTTCAAAAAAACCTTGCTAAGAAGCGGAAGTACAGAAAGACACAAAGAATGACAGAGACAGATATACATAGATTGAGCGACAGATAGAAAGACAGAAGGATTATTCGCATAGAGGTGACAGAGGCAAAAAGGGATGGAGGGCAAAAGAGACAGGCCTTAGCAGAAATATAGAGAAAGGCTGTCATAGATCCTGAGAGATACCAAAGTCACAGAACTGATAAAATGGTTATAAACAAAAAGGACCAGAAAAATAGAAATAAAGGCCAACAAGAAGAGACCCCAAGGCTGAAAGGCACCCAGAGTCTAGACAGTGAACTAGAGTGAGTCAGCCCGGCACGGTGGCTCACGCCTGTAATCCCAACACTTTGGGAGGCCGAGGCGGGCGGATCACGAGGTCAGGAGATCCAGACCATCCTGACTAACACGGTGAAACCCTCTCTCTACTGAAAATGCAAAAAATTAGCTGGGCGTGCTAGCAGGTGCCTGTAGTCCCAGCTACTCAGGAGGCTGAGGCAGAAGAAAGGCGTGAACCCAGGAAGCTGAGCTTGCAGTGAGCTAAGGCCACTGCACTCCAGCCTGGGCGACAGAGCCAGACTCTGTCTCAGGAAAAAAAAAAAAAA